GCCGTAGTCAGCTCCTCTGACAGCTCTACATTCTCAAAGATGGCGGGCATGGTTGAGAAACTCATACTGATGATGGATGACGTGGAAAAATGAACTCGTGAACAAGACTTTCTGCAGTGTATAACTGTGAAACACTAGAAAAGAAAGAGAAAGAGAAGAGATGATTTGAGTAAACATACAGTACAAGAACCTGAAAGCTTGTTGTCTGAAGCCCAAAGTAAACTCATGTCGTCCGCATTCTGCAGTTTTTTGTCTTTTGAAGTTTAACGGACATCCATGTGTTGAGGCTAAGGAGGCTGAGAGTCTCCCTAAAATGTATTTTAAATGAAAAATGAAGCTAAAAAAGTTAATTGTTATTTTTATCAATTTACTTACTAATCTGCATGACTCAGATGCACATAATGTAAATGTATATAGTCATTTGTTAATATGCCCGGTTTGCTTAAGCCAATAATCAGCTAAAGGCCAAAATTTCAGTAACATTATCAATTTAGTGTGTCATCATCTGCTTTTTGTCATTGAAATATAAAATATCAACAATTATAAATAAAAAAAGATTTGATCATAATTGATTCACATATCATCCTCTCATTTCCACATAAACCATCAGTGTAGCCATGCCTATTTATTAATCTAAATGTAGCTACAGCAAATCGAGACAATAACATTCCACAGTTTAAGCAGATTCTTCTGTAAATTATTAAAAAATATTCAAATTCAGATCCCCAAACCCAGTGTAAAAAGCACAGCATACTCACTCAATCGCCGTCGACTCGCTACAAAGAAAGCAGGATTCCGCTGCACTCTAAATACTCACCGAACGTTCTAAGGAATGAATGACGTCATAGAGGGATATGGACACCTCGACTGTTTCAAATGTGAACATGCGATACAAACTTGACTTAGCATTTTTAATTCATGATTGTTGATACATTTATTGATACATTTATGTTAGCATTTGCTAATCGGTTTGAGATCGTCAGTCTCTGACTGACAGAGAGAAACATGTTTCTGCTCTTCTTAGTTTCCTGTTTACACTCAGTGCATTTGGGGTCTATATGACCCCAAAGATGCATAGAGCTATTGTACAAAAAATATAATTTTTAATAATACAAATTATACATCATTTTTTTCAGTTACTTCTCATCTATATTTTTATGCTGTGTTTTGGAGGATATGAAGTACTTTTGTACCTATTTACTGCAGAATTCCTCAACTACAGCATTAGCATAAATATGAAATATTACATTTTTATGACAAATAAAACACAGTAACGATTATCAGATTTAAATATGAGTTGTTTCTGGATATTTACTAGGTGTCTGATGCATAATTCTGCCATCTGCTGGTTAGATGTTTTTTTTGCAGATAATATAGTTTTAGCCAGAAAGTGTAATTACCATATACTTCCAGCAGAGGTCCCATTTAGATCCATTCATTTTTCTGGATGTGACTTACTGCTCTTATAACAGCTTTTGTTATGAATATATATTTAAACATTTAAAATACATTAAATGAGTATTTTGTCAATGTTTTAAAATTATTTTTGTTGTTTTTTGAGGTCTTTTGAAGCATCTTGTTATTGCAATAATATTTTATAAATTTGCAGTAACGGCAAATAAATTTGCAGAATTATGCCACATAAGTTGCCATTAAAAGAAAAAATACTTAATTGCAATTACATATTATTTCAATAATCGAAATGTATAAAATGATTAACTTTAGAATAAGAAATTAATTTTTAAAAAGTAAATAAAAACAAAAAACAAACAGCTATAGGTGGATAGGAACAGACACCTGTGTGTCTGTGTGTGCACATGTGCATGTGTGTGTGTGTGCGTGTGTGCGTGTGTGTGTGTGTGTGTGTGTGTGTGTGTGTGTGTGTGTAATCATGCTCATTCCACATTGTTTTTTTGTTTTGTTTTTTTGCTTTAATGCCAGGCCTTCATTTTTATGTGAACATTTTTAGATTCATGCTGGAGTTTTTTAGTTTGTTTGTTTGTTTGTTTTTTGCCAATTTCAATAAAAATGCTCTCTTTTGCAATCACACTTGTTTGTGTGTGTGTGTGTGTGTCTCTCTGTGTGTGATATGTGTGTAGTCATGTTCTTTCCATATTGCATTTATGCTCTCATAGCATACCTTCATTTGTGTGTGAATTTATTTAGATTTATGCAGTTATTATTGATTTTATTTCCGAATTTCTATAAAAATGCTCTCTATTGCAGCCAAACCTCTCTCTATCTGTGTGTGTATTTGTGTCTGCGCACATGAGTGTGTGATAATGTTCATTCCTCGTATTAGTGATCTAGTACCAGACCTTCATTTATGTGTGAGAATTTTCAGATTAATGCTGGAATTATTGATTTTATTTCCCAATTTCTATAAAAATGCTTTCTATTGGAGTCGCACCGGTGTGTGTGTTTATGTGCGCGTGCACGTGTGTGTGCAAGTGACCATGTTCGTTCCACATTGCATTTGTGCTCTAATCCAGAATTTTCTGATTCTGGATTAATTGATTTTTCATGTAAAAATCATGTAACGCTGATCAGATTTAATGAGGGATTCTTACAGAAAATCTAAAGAAAAGTTGCTTCTACCTCGGCTGTTTCATTGAATTAACTATCCCTTTAAGGCTGTTGTAAGGTAAATGTTTGGCAGCCCTTGAAGTTAAAATAAGAAAATTGAGCACTGAAATTGCTGATGTGTTTAAATTGGTTAATAAATCTTTTGCAATGCAAGTTATTTGTCTTTTTTATAGATTTTGGATCGATCAAATATAAAGCAATGTTCCTTGATGGGAAACATGTTTTATTAAATCCATATCTTTTTGTTCGTTTAAAATGAATAATTTCTATTAACATTTATTTTAAAAAAATGATACATCATTGTTTAATTAAATCTATATATTTGATTGCAGAAAATAAATCATTTCTAATACATATTTCTTAAATGAGATGTTTTGCTTCAATTAAATCTATAGATTATTGTTTAGATAAAAAAAGTATTTAAATTAATTGACTTTCTTCAACATGAAATATTTAGGGGTGAGCGGGGCACAACCTAACGCATTTTGGTTTTGGCTCAATTAATTAAAAAATAGTTAGGTTGGATTAATATTTTTTTTTACACAAGCAACATGCACATCTCTGCTACAAATGAACACTTAAAAGTTTTTTCTAAGACCTACCATTTTCGTACAGTTGCACTGAAAGTGACAGTAGTGCTAATGTTACAACCCCATGCGGGGTTAATTGTAACAGACAGAGGGGTTAGTTGTAACACACATAATTCAGTGCTATTTTATTTGAATAGTTTGATATTGTTTGTGCATCTGTATAGACAGATATCCATACATCCATCCCTCATCCAATCATCCTTCTATTGTGGATCAATATCACAGTAGAAAAGGGCTGCACAGTTTTGCGATAAATAATAATAAATAAAATGATAAAATATTGTAATTTATTGCAATTAAATTAGATTTGTGTGTGGCAGCTGCATGTACAATTATTATTATTAATAACAATAACAGTATATTAATAATAATAATAACAGTCATAATAATTCAAATGAGCTTAAAATAAAAATTTAATAAAAATAAAAATGAAAAATTCATGGTGTCAAAACAGTTTGTTCAGTATCTTCAGGAAATAAATATTATCAAAACTTTCCGCAAATTCGCGTGAAACCGTCTTCTGGCAGCGAGAGAAAAAGATAGAAAGACAGCCTGCTTGATCCTGACGGTTACCAAACTGCAGATTAAATAGGTTTAAATTTTCATTTGTACCGCTCTCTATTAAAATACTGAACGATCAACTAGGGGGTTAGAATTTAAGTGTGACATTAATTAGGTTAATCATGTCGGGTGTGACATTAATTTTTAACATTAATATAATTTGTATTTATGTAATTCATGTTTTGTGTGTTATGTGTTATGTGTTATGTATAATGTATACTGTGTTACATCTGTGTCTCGAAGACCAAAGATGAATTTCTCCATTAGGAGACAATAAAGGCTAATCCTATCCTATCCTAAATCAACGTCCTGCTAATGTTCGGGACAGCACTCTTTCTCGTCTGATCTGTTGCTTAACTATTGAAAAAAAAAAAAAAAAAAAAAAAAACAAGGACAGCCTACAGGAACCCTTTTTTGTGAATTAGCCTATTCTGTTTCAGAAATGTGCTTTTATTGTAGGCTAATATCTGTTGATTAATTTTGTTTCAATGGTCTGTTATCCTTTCTTTATAATAAAATGTAGCCCGCTGCTTCACTTGCTCCCGGTTTATGCACCAGCTGCAAATGCTAAACATAAATGTATCAATAAATGTATCAACAATCATGAATTAAAAATGCTAAGTCAAGTTTGTATCGCATGTTCACATTTGAAACAGTCGAGGTGTCCATATCCCTCTATGACGTCATTCATTCCTTAGAACGTTCGGTGAGTATTTAGAGTGCAGCGGAATCCTGCTTTCTTTGTAGCGAGTCGACGGCGATTGAGTGAGTATGCTGTGCTTTTTGCACTGGGTTTGGGGATCTGAATTTTAATATTTTTTAATAATTTACAGAAGAATCTGCTTAAACTGTGGAATGTTATTGTCTCGATTTGCTGTAGCTACATTTAGATCAATAAATAGGCATGGCTACACTGATGGTTTATGTGGAAATGAGAGGATGATATGTGAATCAATAATGATCAAATCTTTTTTATATATATAATTGTTGATATTTTATATTTCAATGACAAAAAGCAGATGATGACACACTGAAGTGATACTGAAAGCTCATTGGCCTTTAGCTGATTATTGGCTTTAAGCAAACCGGGCAAAATAAAAAATTACTATATACATTTACATTATGTGCATCTGAGTCATGCAGATTAGTAAGTAAAATTACAATTAAGTTTTTTTTAGCTTCATTTTTAATTTAAAACACATTTTAGGGAGACTCTCAGCCTCCTTAGCCTTAACACATGGATGTCCGTTAAACTTCAAAAGACAAAAAACTGCAGAATGCGGACGACATGAGTTTACTTTGGGCTTCAGACAACAAGCTTTCAGGTTCTTGTACTGTATGTTTACTCAAATCATCTCTTCTCTTTCTCTTTCTTTTCTAGTGTTTCACAGTTATACACTGCAGAAAGTCTTGTTCACGAGTTCATTTTTCCACGTCATCCATCATCAGTATGAGTTTCTCAACCATGCCCGCCATCTTTGAGAATGTAGAGCTGTCAGAGGAGCTGACTACGGCCCTTGCTGCGGGACGGTGGTGGGCGATTATGGAGGTGTCAGACCCCATCCCTGACGATTATCAGTTCGACTTCTCCATCTCAGAGGAGTGGGGGGAAACGGAAGAGGCAGGAGCAACATCACGCCCTTCATCCCTCGTCTTCAGTGATGCATCTGAGAAGGCTCATTTCCAACACTCGGGCTTCTCAGATGCAAAGCTGAAGACCACACCGGAGTGGAGGAGGAAGAGGACGCAGGGAGAGCCCTTCTCTTCCAGATCGCCTGTGCCCGACAGATCCGCCAGATCCTCAGAGGGAGCGCCTGTGCCTGCTTGGTTCCCAAAGGAAGCTCCTGTCCCCAGAGGGTCCCAACAAAGAGGAAAACTCAGGATTCCTCTGCATTTGACGAAACATCTTATAAAGGCCTCTTTGGAAACACCCATGCCCATCCAGTCTCCACAGAGGGAACCAGTGTCTGCCTCAAAGGTGTTCACACACTCCTCACATGGAGCATCCATGCAGGACAAGATAGGAGCTCGTCCCAAAGTAAAGATCCCTGAGCCTGAGATAGCGCCTCTGTCTTGTTCTCAGGCAGATCTTGTTGTTAAAAAGATCTCCGAGAGGAGAGATGCTGAAATCCCTGAGCTGCGGATGCAGAATACCCATAATGCACCAGAGCCCGAGTCTTCTGCAAAACTGAGGATCCCGAAGCAGAGGGAGAAGTTGAGGGATTGGTGGGAGCATCAGCAGAGGCAGAAGAACATCCAAAAGGGAGTGTCTGTAAGTCCCTTATATTATATATATCACAACCGAACCGGAGAACTGGAACAGACTCTAGCCCAGGTCCCAGCCGACCCGTAAAAGAGCATTGATTAGACCCTCCTATCTCTCAATTTGACTAAGATTTAGAAACTAAATACTTCATTAATTTAATCTGGGATGCACATCATTTCCTTTTCAATTCAGACCCCTCATATCGAAATGGTAGAAGCAACTTTTCTTTAGATTTTCTGTAAGAATCCCTCATTAAATCTGGTCAGCGTTACATGATTATGTCTGTTCCTTCAACAGGACAGTGCCGGAGTGGACAGGTCAGCCTCACAAAACAAGCAGCGGATGGCGATCCAAGTCAACGACCGACAGTCGGATCCAGGCGGCGCAGACCAAATGGATTATTTATGTTGCTTATTTGCAAAATGTTTTGTCATTTAAAATATTTAATTTTTATTTTGTTAAACGTGTGAGTCTTATAATAAATATATATATATATAAACATACTGTGTATTTATTTATTTGTCAATGACAACACACATTAATTAGTGTAATATAAACAGATCATTTTCATCTGCTGTCACTGGGCTGATTAAATTCACACACTAAGCCAGGGACGGACTGGGACTAAAAAACGGCCCAACAATAACGCCTGTCGCCTGGCATGAGCGTCACATGACTT